TTTTCGGAGGATAGGCGTGGACTCGGTGAGCTGACTTGCCCACTTCAACGCTGCAGGGTTTCGACAGTTTTATGATTGTCGATCTCAAGGGTCCTGGATTTAGATGATGCCTTCTAAGGAGCCTCTGAATTTCCGCAGTTCACCTCGTAGGCAGTACACCCTGCTGTGATTGTGCCTCAGTTTGGCGGGATTGAGGGCGGTTCACACAACGATCGAGCGGAGGCGGTCCTGGATGGTGTCAAACCTCTTGAGTATTATCGGCACTGCGCTCATCTAGGCAAATATGGAATATTCCATCAGCCTCCTGACATATGCCTTGTCGACAGTGGAGAGGCTTTGATTTTGGAGGGAGGGGTGTGAGGTAATAAACCTTCGTAGTGTGGATGCGCAGAAAGATCTCGGTGTCCATGTGCATAGATCACTGAAAGTTGCCACCCAGGTTGATAGCGTTGTTAAGAAGGCGTACGGTATGTTAGGTTTTATTGGTAGGGGGATTGAGTTTCGGAGCCATGAGGTCATGTTGCAGCTGTACAAAACTCTGGTGCGGCCGCACTTGGAGTATTGCGTACAGTTCTGGTCACCGCATTATAGGAAGGATGTGGAAGCATTGGAAAGGGTGCAGAGGAGATTTACCAGGATGTTGCCTGGTATGGAGGGAAGGTCTTATGAGGAAAGGCTGAGGGTCTTGAGGCTGCTTTCATTAGAGAGAAGAAGGTTAAGAGGTGACTTGATAGAGACATACAGGATGATCAGAGGATTAGATAGGGTGGACAGTGGGAGCCTTTTTCCTCGGATGGTGATGGCTAGCACGAGGGGACATAGCTTTAAATTGAGGGGTGGTAGATATAGGACAGAGGTGGTTCTTTATTCAGAGAGTAGTAAGGGCGTGGAATGCCCTGCCTGCAAAAATAGTAGACTCGCCCATTTTAGGGGCATTTAAATGGTCATTGGATAAACATATGGATGATAATGGAATAGTTTAGGTTAGATGGGCTTCAGATTGGTTTCACAGGTCAGCGCAACATCGAGGGCCGAAGGGCCTGTACTGCGCTGTAATGTTCTATGTTCTATGTTCTATGTTCTAAACCTGTCCCTGAAGGTTTCCCAACCTTTCTGTTTATCCAGAAAGTCCGGTTCAGCTTAAGAACTGTGCAGGATTTGCCTGGACCACCGCTGCAGTGTTGCATGCACAGATGTGATTGCCCTGGAGAGCATGCAGAGTAGATTCAGCAGGATGTTGCCTAGAATGTACCAGTTTAACTGTGACGGGAGACACGATTGTCAAAGTAAAATCTGAAAGAACCGCAGATGCTGTAAATCAGGAATAAAAACAGAAGTTGCTGGAAAAGCTCAGAGGTCTGGCAGCATCTGTGAAGAAAGATCAGAGTTAACGTTTCGGGTCCGTTGACCCGTCCTCAGAACTGGGGCCTCTTCTGAACTGTCTGATTCAGTAACTCTAAGGCACTGGCGAGAAGGGTTTTGGAGGCAGAATTGCTTTTATCTTCGAAGAAGGTTTCAGATGTACATTTCTAATGCCGAAGCATGCCAGTCCATGAGCCAAATGTTGGAGAATGTAATGATATGCCTGATGGGTCTAAGATTTTTTTTTGCTCTATTTCCCGATAGCAGACAGACAAATAAGTAACTTTTTTTCTGATACAAGGGGTAAAAGAGGAAGGCAGTTCATTATCCCCAGTCCACAGGCCTTGCTGAGATGATTCCTTTGCTGGTCAGAATGTCCTGTTATTCAATTTCCTGTCTCAAGGTTGCACTCATTTTCTTACAGGAGGCACAGGGCAATTGGAACACAAACTGAAAATTCTCTGAGCTACTGGATAAGGGTCACAGTCACAGCCATGGGTGTGGGAAAATAAATCAGCTCTCTGCAGGGCGTTGGACTAATACTTGCTGAGAAGCAAAGACTTCTTCCACTATAATACGCAAGCACAAGCTCTTCACCTCATCAGAAGCTGGATAGATACTGTTGGATGCAAGTCGAACCTCATTTATGACACAATCTCTGGTGGTGCCTGTTCGTGGACAAACATTCTTCCGCTTGGAGACATTGCAGCCTTCAAGGCTTAATATCGAGTTCAATAATTTCAGACAATGATTATTCCATTTCTTGCGCCTTATCATTTTCACACCACGAAGAAGTCATGAAAAACAATGCATTTTGTATGGCCAGCACCCATTTCACCAGAACAAACAGCAGACTCAAATCCCTCCCCATCCCATTATCAGTTATCTGGATTTCATTTTCCCCTGGCTCACCATGAAATTTCGCTTTGTCTGTCTATCCCTACATTATCCCTCTCTCGCTCTTTCTCTGTCTCCCACTCTGCCTTTTGACTCCACTGATCAGGTCACTCCGCTCCACACGCTATCCCAACCACCCTGCTGCCACATTCCACTCCCAATCATTGCCATGAATAAATCTTTTCTAAGCTCCTAATAATTCTGAGGAAGGGTTACTGTACTCGAAACGTGCACTGTGTTTCTCCCTCCACTGATGCGGCCGGACCTGTTCAATCTCTCTGAGAGCATCACACACCGTTTTGGCTTCAAATGTTGACCTGTCAGAATTATTTCGCTAAATCACTTCAGATTCAACACAGTTTTTACCGCGACATCTCATTTGCATTCACGCCTCATGCATTAACTCGCACTCTATTTTATTTTGCGCTGCCATAGCCCTGGACAACATCCTTTGACATTGAAGGACAGATGTTGTCTGCTTCACCTGTCAACGTACTTTGTTTTTGGCAATGACCTCATTCTATTCCATTGCCTTGCATCTCGAACGACATTCAATCCCCACTATTTTCAAAGTTCTCACAAAATATAATGATATTATTAATTTTTTGCAACATTTTGCCAGACTTATTTGCCCAGAAGCGAAGGGTTGAGCGTATAAATCCGGAAATGGGTCGAGTATGTCAAAGGTTGCTGTCTTCCACGGTACCAGGTCATCTTTGGTAAAGTACTGAAGTGTCAGCAATCCCAAGGGCGATACTTTTCATATCAATGCTCCACTATTCCACACAACATTTTAGGAAGGGCACAGGATTTCTCAATTGACTGGCCAGTTGGTCCTAAGTTTAGAGAAAGCAGGGAGCAGATTCCTGTTCTTGCCCAGAATCACTGAACGTTACAAACAGGCAGCCTCATGTCACAGATAAGCAATCGTGAACCATCAACATATCACTATATCAATTATAGCACTAACTCAATCATCAACGGTCCTCCATACACAGATGCACGCAGGGTGAAACATATGGGTGCTCCTGGAAAAGGAGAAAATCAGAAAGCGGTACTTTGGTCCCTATCCACACGGCACACTGAGATGATCCTTTTGTTAATCACAACGATTTTTCTCGACCTTCTTTCTCAAAGTACTTCGCCTTGTTTTACAAAGACGCAAGGTAACTAGTCCACATCTAGGGAGGTATTTTTTGTAACTAAACGCCAAACAGCAAGTGATGAGTGGGAATAAACTGGCTATGTTGACACTTGACAGTTTTGTTTTCCTGAAGAATAGTTCAGAGATTCTGGAGATCTGATTCTTCCCCCCCAACTCCACAATGCAACTCTCCCCTCCCCAAGCTGTTCAGCTCCCCTAGATTGAAACACATCATTGTTTGGCAGCAGGACACTTTTTCTGGCCAAAACGCACTTATGTTAATAATTTGGCAGATGGTATAAAATGGAGCGATGTTAAGCATTTGTCAAGGCAAAGAGTTTAAGAGCCGGGATGTCATGGTGGAGCAGTATTAAAAGTTGGTTAGGCCACAGCTTGAATATTGTGAGCAAGTCTGTAATCTATATTATACGAAGAAGGTGATTGTACTGGAGACAGTGCAGAGACTTCCTCGGATGTTGCCTGGGCTGGAGAGATTTATTCATTAAAGGAGTTTGGAGAAACTGACATTGTTTAAATTAGAGTAGAGGGGATTGAAAGACTGAGATGTAAAGAAAATTATGAGTGGTAGACAGTTTGGATATTTCCCGTGATTGAGGGATCAGACACCACGTAGGCATTGATTTAAGGTGAGTGCCAGAAAGTTTGGAGGACATGTGAGGCAAAACTATTTTATCCAGACAATGGTGAGAATCTCGAAGTCAATGCCTGTAAGATTGGTTTTTTGCAGAAACGGTGAGTACATTTCAGAAGTCTTCAGAAGCGCGCTTACAGTGCCACCGCATGCAATGTTAGGTGCCAAATATTGGAAAATTGGATTTAAACAGTTCAGTAGTTGGGTTTGTTAAACAAGGTTTTTTTTTCTGAAAAGCCTTCTTTTTTCTGCTGTAAATCACAATAACTGTAATTCCATCACTGAGCACGCTACCAGTCAAATCGCCAGTTCTGTTCTAACTCTCCGACAACGCTTGGCTTCATCTCATCTATAACTGCCACAATTCCCCAGCTGGCAGCTGTGTAAACAGCACTTACAATGAGTGCAAGGTAACTTTTTTATTAAAAGTGCATGAATCCCTTCAACAGTCCTCGTTGATTAAAACTGAATGTTTTTATCCGAATTCAGTGCATGATTTAAACACAGAATTATAGTGTTTTAAAGTCTGTAGGTGTGAGGCTAGAAAAAAAAAACATCAGGCCAGGCAGCATTCGAGAAACTGGTAAGGAAACGTTTCAGCCCGAAATCATTACGCTGTGTACCTACAAACATGCGCTCCGACTCTCACTTTGGTTAAAACAGTGACTCAGACACACTGCAACTTTCAAAATTTATTTCCCTTGTTGCATTTCAGCTTCAACACTGAAATCAAGTCTGTATTGGAAGGCTTTGAGTGAATTCATTTGCCTAGTGACTGTAAAAGCAGCAAGAAATCTGATTATCAGAGCTCAGGTGCTCATGATGAATTAATGCCAGCTCAAGTTCATCTCTCAGGGACTATTATGTCTGTTCTATATAAAGATTCCGCTTTGAGCCGGCTGCACTCCATGGATTTACCCTCCACCAACCGACGGCAGAGGCATTATGAATTTGGCTGGTATAGTTTCATGGTACGAGAAGGTGTTTAAACTGCTGGATATATTTCGGGATATCGAGAGGATATACTTCCCGCTACTTGCGGCTGTTAGTGTGCCCCGTAAGTAATAATCTCGGCTATCAATTCTACAAACTACGCTATTCATTTCGCTTTTTCTCCTCATTTGCTCGCTGTGTTTTGTATTCCGATTTAGTCCAGCTTTGCTTAAGGATATGTTTTAGTTCCTTCTCAGCCCTTTAGTGTATGTGGTGATTTTTAACCCTATGTTATAAAAGTGTACCTTACATCATTGTCACAGTGACGAGTAAAATCAAGTTGGATTAATTCATTTGTTGGTACGTGTCTAGGTCCCTGATACCGAGTGGGGAAGGACGACATGACATCTTCCACAGAAGATTTGTTATTTTTAGTAGACTGTAACGGCTTTGTATATTATACATGGTAGCTCTTTTCGTTATATTTCAGACGTGAAATGTTCTCTCTCAGATATACACGCATTCACACTCTCTGTCCCTCACACACAGACGATCAGAGTTTGACTCTCTTACACACACTGTCCTCACACTTACACTGTCTAAACATTCTTTCTAAACACGCATGTTCTCAAAATTGCACTTACTCTCCCACACGCACCCTTTCTGACACATATTCTTTCATACACATACTCTCGCACAGATACACTCCCTCACTCATAGCGTTTCATGCACACACCCTCTCACTCACTCTCTGTCTCTGACACACACTCTCTCACTCTCGACAAACCCACACTCATTTTCATGGACGCTCACGCTCTCTGCTCTGCACACACGCTCATACACACATTCACACATTTCACACACACTTTCACACTGGCTCATGCACAGGCAATCTCTCTATCATACGCAGACATGCACTCACACTCTCTTTGGCGCACATACTCGCACATGCGCTCAAATACTCTAGCATGACTCCTTCTCTCACACAGATAAACATGCGCAGAAATCATCGCAGAAATACCCACGCATGCACTCTCAAAAATACAAGCTCATACTCATACATGAACACACAAACATTCACCCACACTCTCTCACAAACACCTAATTATTCCAAATTCTGTTGTCCTTACTCTTTCAGACACCACACACGCTCACTCATGCGCTCTGGAGACTGACCAAACCTGGTCCATGCCGGACAAAATGCCCATCCACGCTAATCCCATTTCCCTGCACTTGGCCCTTATTGTTCGAAAACTTTCGTATACCTGTTTTCGTCAAAATGTCTTAACATGTTTATTATTATTATTATTATTATTTACCTGCCTCAATTACTTCTGCTGGCAACTCATTCTGCATGCGTACATATTGTGTGAAAAAGTTCTACCACAGATTTACATGTATTCTTTCCCCTCTGACCTTAAAGTGATGCCTTCTTGTCCTCGATTCTCCAACCAAGGGAAACGGACTGGGTGTATTCACCCCATCCATGCCTCTCATGATATTGTACACTCCTTTAAACACCGCGCCCCCCACCCCGACCCCCGTTAAGTCTCCTATGCTCTAAACAAAAATGTCGCACCTTGTCCAACAACACCCTACCATTCAATCCCTTGTTCGTTGGAAACATTCTTGTAAATTCCTTCAACACTCTTTGCAGTTAAATAACATCATTCCTATAAAAAATGATCAAATCTGAACACATTACTCAAATTCCAGCCTCAACAACGTCCTGGGCAATTTCCCAACTTCTATACTCAATGCCCTGCCTGATGTAGGCCACTATAGCAAAAGCTTTTTTTTCACAGCCCCGTCTACTTGTGGCTCCACTTTCAAAGAAATATGGGGGTGAACTCCAAGGTACCTCTCTTCTACCACATTTCCTAAGGCACTACCACTCACGATGAAATTCTTACCTTAATTTGACTTTTCAAACTGCAACACCACACACTTATCTATATTAAAATCCAGTTACCACTTCTCTGACAACTCCCACAGCTGATCAAGATCCTGTGTCAATTTTTGATAACATTCCTCAATGTCCACGATAGTGCCTACTTTAATGCCATCGGCAAGCTTACTCATCATGCCTTGTACATTGTCAACCAAGTCAGTGTCAGTGGTGGAGGGGAGGAATGCTGAATGTTGGCTTTTACAGCCTCCTGCACCCTGTTTATTAATGCTTATGTTTCCTTTCTCAGTTAATGTGATAACTATTGTAATCCTTTCTCGTGGACAGTGCGGCCTCTCCAGATGTGTCACTGTCTACCTTGTGGCCATGGCAACGGCAGATCTGCTCGTGGTGATCCTCGACCTGATACTGAGACATATTCCTGTTCTTTATCGAGAAAACTTTATGTTTCTGCAGGATATGGGTGCGTGCAACATTCACGCTGCCCTGCTTTATGCAGCCACTGACTGCTCCATCTGGTTCACTGTCGCATTCACTTTTGATCGATCTGTATCCATTTGTAACCAGAAGCTGAAAACAAAATATTGCACCGAGAAAACTGCTGCTGTAGTTCTGGGCACAGTGACGGTGTTGAGCTGTTTAAAGAACATAATCTTGTATTTTATGTACAACAATAGGTATCGTTTTATGAATGATCCTGTATTTTGTGGTCTAGAATTAGGCGATGCTAATTTAGAGTTATGGGCGGCTATTGAAATTGCTCACTACATTCTCACACCCTGTGTCCCATTTGTACTGATTCTGCTGCTCAACGTTTTCACTGTCAGACACATTTTAGTGAACAGCCGAGCCCGCAGGAGACTCCGAGCTCACAGAATTGGGCACAGTCCCAGAGACACCGAGATGGAGAGTCGAAGGAAATCCATTATCTTACTGTTTGCTATTTCTGGCAATTTCATTGTGTTGTGGGCAGTATTTACGGTGACCTCTATACTTAAGCAAATTGAACATTTGGGTGACACAATCGTGGTACCTGCATATTTTCTAGATTTAGGCTTCATGCTCCAGCTCCTGAGTTGTTGCACTAACACTGGGATCTATGCCGTGACCCAGTCGAGGTTCAGAGGACAATTGGAGCAAGTGGTGATATATCCCTTTAGACTATTGGCTAAATTAACTAAACAGTGATCCTACGTTGGGCACCTACTAACACCCAGGTTATAAATACACTCACATTCTGGCCCCATCTGAACACTAGGGTGAAAGGAGGCGAGTTGGAAAGTGTTGTGGACTAAGTCAGGCTATGACTTGTCCTTTATAGTCGTGGAGTGTTTCAGAGAGGTTAGTATCCAGCCAGGTAGAAGTATCAGATGTTGAAGTGGTGCATGAGGACCGTATAGAAGTGAACGAGGCTCAGCCAGTCTTTATTAACTTTGGCAGGTCGGCAGGTGAATGGTACTCACAGTTACAGCCGATCTTTGGATTTGGAGGGTGTAAATGGTCATCACATGACACTGATTCTGCTGCCTGACACAGACGTATCTATCTATCTTTCTATCTATCTATCTGTTTATCTGTCTGTCTATCTGTCTGTCTGTCTGTTTTATCTACCTATCTATCGATCGATCGATCTATCTATCTCTGTAATTATCTCTCTATCTTTCTCTGTATCTATCCATCTATGAATCTGTCTATCTGTCTATCCCCTCATCCATCCATCCACATAACCACATCGCCAGATGTTGCCATGTGGGAAATTTACGTTCAACCAAAATTGTGTACATCACACAAGAGAAATTCGTTATTAAACACAGAAAAATCACTTCAAACAGTCGAAACCTAAGAAGCGGACATGTGTCCTGCGGGCTTGACTGTCAGTAATTGACAGTGCTGGGAAACAGGTTGAATATTTGTTTCAATGTTTATGCTCACATATTTCAAGGTGCCTTCTCTCTACAGTTAACTTGTAATTACTCACATTTATGCGATAAACTTATGTTCTGCTTTTAAACACCAGCAGCAGTCTTGTGTAAATTTGTTTTTTGAGTAACTACCACTTGGACTGTCTGGAATTTTTCAAGGACGTGCCCTGTGAAATCGTTTAACCTTCTGGGATCTGACAGAATAAGTATTTCTGCAATCAGGCTGAAAATGAATTCGTCATGATTTCGCAAGTTCAGTCCTTGATGTGCAGGCGACATGATGCAGAGAATTGCAATGTTGTTATTTTCATGTCCTGAAAGTACTCACTGAGGACAATATAGAGGCAAATTTGCACCGCACATAAACATTTGATGGTCACGCCTGGGAGTGTTTGACGGCGACAGTACAGACAGACCTTGACTCTGTATCTATCCCCTTGCTGTTCCTGTCCTGTTAATGTTTGTAGTGGGACAATGTAGAACGTGCTTTACTCCGTATCTAGCTTTGTCCTTTCCATGTCCTGGGAATGTTTGTTGGGGTCCATGTAGAATACAAATTACGCTGTATTAACCTCATGCTATCCCTGTCCTGGGATAACTTGATGGGCTTTACTGCAGATGAAGGTTCACTTTGTAGCTAACCCTGAACTCTCCCCGTCTTGGGGAGCTTGATCGGGGGCCAGTGTAGTGAGGGCTTTACTCTGTATCTAGCCCTGATGCAACGTAGAGGGGTCCTTACTCTGTATGTAACCCTGTAGTGTTCCTGACTTGTGAGTGCCTGATTGGGGCAACAGTGTAAAGCGAGCTTTACTCTGTATCTAAATCTGCACTGTCCGTGTCCTGGGAATGTTTGTTGTGGGAACAGTGTAGAGGGGGCTTTGCAATGTATCTAACGCTGTGTTCTCCCTGTCTTGGATGTGCTAGATCGCGGAACAGTGTAGATAAAGCTTTACTCTGTATCTAAGCTTGTGCTGTCCCGGTCTCTCATCACATACGGTCTCTGCCCTGGGATGTTAGACATGTAGAGGGGTCTTTACTCTGTATCTAACCGCTTGTTGTTCCTGGCTTGGGAGTACTTGATGGAGCGACAGTGTAAGGGGAGCTTTACTCTGTATCAAAACCCTTGTCCCTGTTGGAGATTGATGTGGGACCTTTTACAGAGAGCTTTAATCTGTATCTATATCTGGACGATTACTGTCCTGTTAGTCTTTGTTGCAGGACGACGTAAAGGTGGCTTTACTGTGCTTCTGAAACCATTATCCCTCACCGGGGTTTATTTGTTTGGGACTGTGTAGAGGCACAGTTAAAGGCAAGGGAGAGTAGATTTCAAAGGGATGTGATGGCAGAACAGAGCGTTTTGAGTGTCAGGAATTTGCTGCTTTGCTCTAGACAGAGGAACTCCCAAATCAATTGTGGAAAAAATGAATTGGCCAAGAGATGGAAGGGAGTGTGTAATGGTCAATACCACCTTTGGGAATGGGAGAAAGTTTGTAGTGAAGCTCACCTGGGAGTTCGTATTGGGACAGGCAGACTGAGAATTGGAGAGAGATGGGGGTTGTAGAGACAGGTGAGAAGAGAGAGAGAGAGGGACGAAGAGAGAGAGAAAGAGAGAGAAGTAGAGGTATAGAAGAGAGAAGGAGATAGATAAAAAGAGATTAAGACAGACACAGTGAGAGAGACAGAGACAGACAGTTCAGATCCTGGATGAACGATGAAACCAAGGACGAGTCCCCAGTTTTGTTATGATGAGAAATGGCTGAACCCATCTGATCATTAAACTAAAACACAAGCCCCAATCTGCCATGAGAGAAGGAACTCCCAGGGAAACTCGCCTTTCCCCTCGTAATCTATTGGAAGAGTAGTTAAAAGAAAGAAGATCCCCTGATCTCCATTTTGCAAGTCACAAGAAACAATTTAATTATTAACCCAATAATGAAATTAATTAACACAATCACTAACAACCTGACCCATCACCCTTACACAGCTAACTGCTCCCTAACTGTTCTACATTCTAGCGGAATGCTGTTTAAATGAAGACAAGGCCCAATAATATAAACCCAATTTATAAACTATAAACTATTTATTTATATTTATAAACTAATAAATTATAACTTAATCTCTCCAAGTTCGCACAGACTGTCTTCTGGAATATTCTGTCATCTCCGTTGTCTTCATAAATGCCTTTCTTCCACCAATTCTACCATCAGCGACGTTTTGTGTCTAAAGTTTCTTCAATGAGGACTTTGATCTAAAATACAGTGATACCTTAAATTAATTAGCTGGGCTTTCTCTGAGAGATGAATGGTGCTATCTCTGGCCAACTCTGATGCTCTCTCTTTCAGATGGCAATTGGCTCTCACCCCATTTTATAAATGCCCTCATCTTATATACTCGTAATGACATCGTCATATTCTTATAATATGTTTGATTTCAGGTTTTCAACACCATCAGATTTAAATTCAATTTGTTTTCTGTATCGAGGTGTTTCGTTAAAATTAATCGGCCAAACTCAAAGTCATTGTCACAGCATCAAAACAAAACTGCTGCTTTGTCTGCCACATGCAAGGATTTTTTTTTGATGCATTGGTTACACATTTTTAAGTCTCTCTGTGCTTACAACTTCACCCATTGCTCACAGACGTACTTTTTTTATAAAAAACCTAAGTACAGACAAAGTACAAATCTCTTAAAACAACAACACATTTCAGTTCACAGGAAGGGTCACCGGACCCGAAATGTTAACTTCTTTTATTTCCTCCGCAGATGCTGCCAGACCTGCTGAGCTTTTCCAGCAACTTTGTTTCTGTTCCTGATTTACAGCATTCGCAGTTTTTTTTTTTTTTCGGTTTTTAACACATTTTAGCTTCCTGCCTTACAATTCAAAATTACTGGACCAAAGGAAATTTTTCACTAATCCTTCAATGCTAATCTGTCCAAATTCTTGAAGTCTTTGTTGAATGTTATTGTAGGTCTGTTTGCAGCTCCTAGACTGCACTAGGCCACATTGCTAAATTTCACCCATCTAAGACAGAGATAAGGATGGATTTCTGCTCTCAGGACAGAGTGAATCTGTTGAATTCCTATAACTTTGAGGAATGTCGAGGCTACAATGGGAGATTTTTAACCAGGAAATGGACCAAGGGACACGGGAAAATGCAGGAAACGGGACATGGATGCATGGCCATCATAGAAAGCTAGAAATGTTCTCACAGGGTCAGACTGGCTCAAAGCAGGAAGCATGGTCCCAATGGTGGAGGGGGTTCCAGAAACCGGTGGAGGTCACAGCTTAAGCAGCCCTGTGGACATGACGAGACATTCTTTACCCAGGGAGTGGGATGCGCCTGTGGATTTCTCCATCTCAGAATGCGGTCGACAGCAAAACTTTGAATGTTTTCTGGAGCAGTTGTGTACACTTCGTATTGGACCTTGTGGAACTGTCTGTGGCTGAAAACAGCGTAGAATAGCAGAAGATGCGGTTAATCTGATATAAAATCTCTGGGAAGATTGGTAGATGAAGGAATAGCTTGTTTAGTCTTGTATCTAAATTAAACTATAAGTTCGGGACCGTAAGTACAACGGAACCTCAATCAAATTAGGCCAATTAAGCCAGGAAAGGTGGACGAAATTTAATTTGAATAAATTCGACGTGTTGCATTTTGGTCAGGAAAACCAGAGCAGGGCTTGCACAGTCAACTGTAGGGCTGTGAGGGGAGTGTGGTCGAACTGGGAGACCTGGGGGTGCAGATACATAGATCCTCGAAGCAGGCGTTTGGCACCTTTGCCTTCATCTGTTAGCAGATTGAGTGTAGGAGTGGGGACGTCATGTTGCAGTTGTACAAGACATTGGTGAGGCCACATTTGGATTATTGAGTGCAATTATGGTCACCCTGCTGCAGAAAGGATACAATTAAACCAGATTTTAAAAAAATAAGATTTACAAGGATATCACTGAAAGTGGCAGGTTTGAATTATAAGGAGAGTCTGGATAGGCTGAGGTTTTTTGCTTTCCCTGGAGCGTAAGAAGTTGAGAAGTGACCTTATGGATGTGTATAAAATCATGAAGGGCATGGTGAGGGTGAATACCCAAGGTCACTTTATGAGGTTAGGGGTGAATAAAACTGGAGGGCACAGATTTAAGGTGAAAGGTGATAGATTTAAAAATAACCGAAAGGGCATTTTTTTTATTTTTGCGCAGTGGTGGTGATTATATGGAGCGAGCAACCAGAGGCAAATACATGTACAACATTTGAAAAGAAATTTGAGTAG